GTGATCCTACTCTACACATCAGGAGCAGAAACACAGTCATCTGGAAGATGTCATTTAAGAGGACTACAGAAGAAGATCCAATTTTTTAACCGATGAATTTTAGCTTGGCATTTTTCAGTACCATTGTAGCACAAAGTCTTTGTAAATCCTTTGAAGTATTTCATGCATGTTTTCTGGGGATGACAATGTCAAAGAAAAGACTGGGTTCAAACTATAATCCTAGAAAAAGGGGTAGGGAACCTGGAGCTATCGTAATATGATAAAGATAAGAAAGAAAACAAGGAAGTGGCATTGTCATTACATGCAACTGCTGAATAATCAAAGTATCCTCTAACGAATTATAAGAGTACCACAGGACTTTAGGACATTCTTCTAATTAATCAGGCAAAAAAATATCAGCTTACACAATCCTCTGGAACAATCAAAGATAAAATTAACCTCTTTGGCAGCAAAAGATATTAAATTAATTGCAGTGTGGATTTTCCTAGCGTAGACACATTCCTGGCTTCCTACTTGAGAATCCCTTCTTTTTCAGTTCAAGGCTGATTGAAGTGCAAAAGAGGTGAAGCGTAGTACAAATATGTTCCACTTCGAAAGTCCCCGTGTTAGAGATCTCAAATCTAACTGATGCAGTAGTAAGACTATAGTAACCCAGTAAAGTGAAAGGAAAGTCCAATGCTGCAAAGAAAAATACTGCATAGGAACCTGGAATGTAAGATCTATGAATGTTGGGAAGCTGGAAGTTGTCAAACAGGAGATGGCAAGAATAAACATCGACATCCTGGGCATCAGTGAACTAAAATGGACAGGAATGGGCAAATTCAGCTCAGATGATTATCATATCTACTATTGTGGGCACGAATCCCGTAGAAGGAATGGAGTAGCCCTCATAGTCAACAAAAGAATGGGAAAAGCTGTAATGGGATACAATCTCAAAAATGAAAGAATGATGTCGATACGAATCTAAGGCAGACCTTTCAACATCACAATAGTCCAAGTTTATGCACCAACTACCATTGCTGAGGAGACTGAAATTGAACAATTTTATGAAGATTTACAACACCTTCTAGAACTGACACCAAAGAAATATGTTCTTCTCATTCTAGGGGATTGGCATGCTGAAGTAGGGAGCCAAGAGATAAAAGGTACAACAGGGAAATTTGGCCTTGGAGTTCAGAACGAAGCAGGGCAAAGGCTAATAGAGTTTTTTCAAGAGAACAGGATGGTCATCACAAACACTCTTTTCCAACAACACAAGAGGCGACTCTATACATGGAAATCAGCAGATGGGCAATATCGAAATCAGATTGACTATATTCTCTGCAGCCAAAGATGGAGAAGTTCTATACAGTCAGCAAAAACAAGACCTGGAGCTGATTGTGGCTCTGATCATCAGCTTCTCATAGCAGACAGTGTCTGCGAAGCAACCGACATGAAATTGACAGAACTCCGGGAGGCAGTGGAAGATAGGAGGGCCTGGAGTGCTCTGGTCCATGGGGTCACGAAGAGTCGGACACGATTAAACAACTAAACGAATGAACGAACCCAGTAAAACTGTACTAACCGGAGGTCTGTGGTGCAAAGAGTATGTGTGTGTGTCTGTATGATGCCTCACTCATGACCAGAGCAGCCATCACCCCCAATTCCAAGTTTTCAAAACTTATGTGCCCACAAGGATATAAAAGAAATATTATTGGTATTTAATCAAAAAGTCCAAGAAGTGTTTCTTTACATCAAAACAATGTCTACTTCTTTAGAAGACTGTTGTGTAGATGCTGCAGATAGTGGACAACATAAATGTGGGAAGAAACAGTGTATTATGAAACATTTATTCCACATTCTTTGCCACACTGGCAGTGACTTATCCATGGTTCTGTCCTATGTGATGCAGTATGTGTATGAGTCATCAGTGGGGCTGGGCATTCAAATTTAGCTCTGAAGGTGATAAGAATCCATGAAATCAGACTTCTCTCCCCTTCAGCTACAGTATGGCTACTGTGCCAAACCCTGAATTATTTTTCAAACAACTGTCCTGATCTCCCATTCTATTTAAGCATAACCTTCATCTGCTGGACTTCAAGGATGCTTCATTCACTCACAAAGACATAAAAGGAAAATAGCCAGCCAACTGTTTGGAAAAATGTGAGAAGGCATCGAGATGAATGATCTTGCCAAGAAATGGCACGATGACATCCTTTGAAATATTGTAAAATAATAATTGTGTGCTGTCAAGTCATTTCTAATTTATGGTGACCCTTTCCAGGGTTTTCTAGGAAGAGAATACATTAAAAAAGTTTACCATTCCTTTCTACCTGGGGTGCCTTGGGACTGCACAGCTGGCCCAAGGCCGGGCAGGTTGGTTCTTCTCCCCTAGAGGTACACAGTGGGAAATCAGACTCCTGACCTGGGGCACTACAGCCAGATATCTAAACCACTGATAAAGGGTGAGAACCACCACCACCACCCCAAAAAAACTCAGATCAAATATTTGTTAGATCTTAACTTTTATTTCAGGGATCTGATACCCTAATCTTATACAATATATTTCTAGACTATCTTACTATATTTTCACAAAACGAGGAATGGCAGAATGGAAGAGGATCCATATCCTGCTTCTTAACATGAATCAATGATATCTGTAAGGTTAAGAACCCCTTCACGGATTGCTGCCTTGTTGTGTTGAAGGAGCTGGATAACTCAGAGAAGCTATGGGCTATGCCGTGCAGGGGCACTCAAGACAGACAGGTCAGAGTGGAGAGATTTTTTTCTTCAACCGGGAAACCCGGTGGATGTCCCCAGCAGCTCATCAGCTTGCTGTGATGGGTTTGCCATTCATTTTGAGGGGGAAATCGCTCAGATTCTCAATAGGTTGGACTCCACCGGTACTGCAGAATCAGACGATGTGTCCGGTGCACCGTGCGTAGGTCAAGTATTAATGGATGAGTTTCAATTGTTGAGACCTGAGGATGTGGACAGGGGTGCTTGGATCTGTCTATTCTACCACCACTCCGCTCAACCCTTGCCCATCTTGGCTAATTGGAAGATCTGCCAGGGGGGGGTCACACCTGGGTCCAGAAGGCCGTGAACACCTCTTTGAGAGAGGGAGTGGTCCCTAACATCTTGAAAGAGACAGTCATTCAGCGACTCCTTAAAAAGCCTAACCTGGACCCATGGCTGGTGGTTAACTATCGACCAGTGGCGAACCTCCCTTATTTAGGCAAAGTGTTGGAGTGGGCAACTCCAGGCACTGCTGGATGAAATGGATTTTCTGGATCCATTTCAATCGGGTTTCAGGCTGGGTTTTGGTACAGAGACTGCCATGGTCACCCTGTATGATGACCTTTGCCGGGAGAGAGACAGGGACAGTGTGATATTCCTGGACCTCTCAGCAGCTTTCGACACTATCAACCATGGTATCCTTCTGGATAGGCTGGCTGGGTTGGGAGTTGGGGGCACCGCTTTATGGTGGTTCTGCTCCTTCCTGGCTGACAGTGTCCAGAGGGTGGTGTTGGGAGACAGTTGCTCTGTCCCATGGCGTTTATGTCATTGAGTTCCTCAGGGCTCGATACTGTCCTCCCATGCTGTTTAACAGCTACATGGAACCGCTGGGAGAGGTCATCAGGAGGTTTGGGCTGAGGAGTCAGCAATATGCTGACGACACTCAGCTCTACCTCTCATTTTCCACCAATCCAGGTGAGGTGGTTTCTGTGCTGAACTTGTGTCTGGACTTGATAATGGACTGGATGAGTTAATAAACTGAAACTCAATCCCAACAAGACGAGAGTGCTGTTAGTGAGTGCTTCACCGGACAGGCTAGAGGGCCATTTCTCTGTCCTCAATGGGGTTAAACTCCCCCCAAGGGACAGGGTCCGCCGCCTATGGGTGCTCCTGGACCCCAGTCTAATTCTGGAAGCCCAGGTGGACTTGGTGGCCAGGGGCGCCTTCCTTCAGCTACAGAAATTATACCAGCTACAGCCCTTACTGGACGAGCAGAGTCTCATGACAGTTACACATGCACTGGTAACATCTCATATAGATTACTGCAATGCGTTCTACGTGGGGCTGCCTTTGAAGACGGTCCAACAACTGCAACTGGTCCAGAATCAAGCTGTGCAGCTGGTGAGTGGTGGGGGCGCTAGGGGACACATCAAGCCAATTCTGTTTAAATTACATTGGCTACCAGTTGCTGCCTGGACCTAATTCAGAGTGCTTGTTTTGACATATAAAGCCCTAAATGGCTCAGGCCCTGGACACCTGAAGGGCCACCTCCTTTGATATGAACCTACACGGCAGTTAAGATCTAGCATGGGGGCCCTTTTGAAAGAGCCATCCCTCAAGGAGGTAAGATGGCTTGTAGACAAAAGGCCTTTTCAGCAGCTGCCCCCAGACTATGGAATGCCCTCCCAACTGAGATTCGTCTGCCGCCAATGCTGATGACATTTCAGCGCCAGGTCAAAACATTCCTGTTCCAGGTTTTTAATTGAAATAATATCAACTGTGGATCCTGATGGCAACTTTTAGAGTATGTATTTTAATTGTTTTTAATTGTTTTATCTTTTTCACTGTAGTTAAATCACTGTAAGCCGTCCAGAGACCTTTGGTTAGTGTGGGCGTCACATAAGTAGAATGAATGAATGAATGAATGAATGAATGAATGAATGAATGAATGAATGAATGAATGAATGAATAAATAAATAAATAAATAAATAGGATTCAGGATTCTCCTGACAGACACCCTCTATTCAGGTGTTCATAACCTCTGTGTAGGGAGAGAGGAAGCTGCTGGGCTGAAAAATGTCTTGAGTGGCAGAAAAGTCCATTCTTTGCTCTACACACCCAGTTTTTACTGTGTTTTTGTTTTGTTTTGTTTTGCCAGAGCCAGTATCCCCTTCCCTTTCAATTGAATAGAGAAATGTCTCCATTCACTTGCACAGGGAGGGAAAAGACGCCACATAAACAAAGAGGTATAAGGAGAAATCCACTTCCTCCTTGTTACTCACTGGTTCTTGTTGAGGCTCGCCTTCCATTCCTCACTGCCATTTTGTTAGCATGTCCGTCCTCACTCTGCAAGTGAATGGGAAACCACTCCATTTACTTGCTAAGGAAGCAAGCCTGGATGGGACATCAGTGTGGTCTTGAGAGTGCAATGGGACCCGTAGGCATTGACAGAAGTAGTCCACAGAGACCTGCAAAATGGGCTAATTTCACCCTACATTTGTGAGGCGTGAAGAGTACTCAGGCTATAAGCAGAACCCTTGAACCAAGAGGGGTTATTGCTTGTGATAATATAATTTTTGACAGATCACCTAAAAGGTTGCTGTGAAACAGGAAAAAAAATCAACGACATGGATCATCACGTAACTTCGACCACCCAGAACGCTGCATTAAACAAGCAGACACAACAGCAAATGAACTCCTAGTATTATTATTACTACAATGTAGACACTAGGGACACATTTGGCATGCTCCCTAGAAATGAAGCTAAATAGCTCTGTTACTGATACGTATATAGCTACATGGATATTTTATTTACCCCTTTTACATGGCTTAGCAAAGTCTTATCTATATAAAATGTCTCATCTCTGACATTTTTGGAAGCAGCTGTTCCCCATCCATTAGGTTAACACAAGGCATTTTCAAACTACACAATATGGCTTTCTCTTCCTTGATATCCTGACCCCTACTTTTGCTCATTTATTGAATGCTCTGCCAGTGGATTATTATCTCATTTTGTACGTGACTCAGGTTTTAGCAGCTTCCCCAAGGATTCTTTCTGTACCAGATCAATAATCAGTTATAACCAATGCTCATCTCTCCCAAGAGAAGCTGCAGTTCATGAACTTACCAGGGACAGCCTCTGATATCAGCACCAGTAGAGCCCAAATCACACTTAAATGAAGTGTCATAGCTGAATTACATGGCAGGAGATCTGCTCTCAGGTTCAGTCTCTGGAATCACCATGTGGGTAACTGGCAACAATCCTGTCTGAACCCTGGAAAACCAATATTAAGCTATAGGGGCCAACTGTCTAAATTGGTATAAAGAAATTCCCTGTGTTCCCATAGGTGGCGGGGGTGAAGTGAATGGGGATAGACAGGGCTAGATAGATCAGAGGCTTGGCTTGATACAAAGCAACTTCCTATGTTTCTGTAAAACATCAACACCATAAAGAAGCAGAAAGGAGGGTTTAAGTGTGACCAGAGATTCAAGACTGGAATGGAAGTAGCCTTTTACTCATGCAGCTATTAATTTGTAAATTTATTTTAAAGCAAACACCAGGTGTTAAGGAACACAGTCTACACTGAGGGAAGAGACTGAGTCCTTCACTATACAGTAGGACCCCCTTATCCATGGGACCAGTATCCACTGATTCATTTATCCATGGTCTGAAAATATTAAAAAAATTAAAAGAAAAAATCCAGAAAAAAACTATTTTCACATGTATTACCAGAACCAACCACTAGAGAGAGCCTGAGAAAGAGCCAGTGTTTTTCTTTTTACCATGTGCTCCCTCCCTTCCCCTCTCTCTCATGTTTGCTATTATCTGCAGTTTTCAGTATCCACAGGCGCTTATAACCAATCCCCAGCAGATAGAGGGGTCCTACTGTACCAAGGTCCTGATCCTGCCAAGAGGGTCTCACTGATGCTACTTGCATCTGGAGAGAAAGGTGACACAGTTTTCCAGGGAAAATGTAATTTAAACAGCAGGTCCTTCTCCAGACTACACAACATGGCTACCAACACGTGATTCTGGCCTTGCTTTCCTCAGTATCAGAAGAATGATGGTGCAGGAATCATGCAAACAAAATAAGAAGGGAAACAGGTGTGCAGATCTTAATGCTGCCTGAGTGAAATGTTTTGGGTCAGCTGCCTGGTTGCACTGCCCTCTTTCACTCATGTAGAATACAGTATTGCTCTCTGGCCCTGGAATACCACAGTTTCTCTCCATTTCTGTTATCTGAGGATTAAAGAACATTAAAGGAAGATAAAGGGACAGGGGATGGGACAGAATATAACTGAATTGCCTGCCACAGTCATAATGACATCTCCCTCCCTCCCTACACTTCTACATGCTGGAGCAGCAGGGCAGAAGACAAGTGAACCATACTGCAGCAGTTCCACTGCCAAAGAGATAAGGCACTCTCCTGTTTAAAAGCGGTTTGGCTCTTTGGCAGCTGTAACTTTGGCAGAAGTAGCAAACAAAACTCTAACCATACCACCTGCTCTGGCCACACTTGTACATTCACGCAGCTCATTTGGGTCACAGCTACAGCAGCTATAGTTCCTCACGTTGTCTTTAGATATAAAAAGTAGGGAATGTATGGCTTCCAGTTATTGTTGAACAGCAATTCCCACCAGCAATGACCAGCGCTGCTATAAGGATGATGAATGTTATATTTCAACATCTGGAGGACCACACATTCCCTAGGCTTATTTGAAAAATGATATATTGTTATGACCAAACTTTTATCCTGGAGGTCCTTTTCTAGCCCCTTGGAGGTTTTGGCTTGGGACTTCATTTTCATACTTTATGGTGCATCTCCATTTGTGGGCTCAGTTGGTTACTCCTGCTTAGTGACTCATCTTAACCTTCTCTCACTAAACCTTTCCTGTATCTTTTCTAATAGCCCCTGAGGAGCAAAGGTATTTCAGTGGCAGTGGTGCTTTAAAAAGGAAGGGTCTTTTTCCTGCTGCTCCAGAAGTAGTGTTAGGTATGTTCTTCCTCACTGACTGTTATCCTGGGTAGCCAGGCTGTGTTGTCTATGGGTAGGACTAGCTCTGAAGTTTTTACTGCCACCTTACCTGTGACTTTCTACTAATATCAACCTAGAAAACAAATTCTGTAGTATTTCAGAATATTGGATCATCGCTTCATTGGACATCATTTGGTTTGGTTCATCTGAAAATAATAAAACTATCTTCTTTTGCAAACATGCATGTGTATTTAAACATGCCAGTTTGGATGTAAAATTCCTGCAACCAGAATAAATAGGAAGATACAATTATTCTTTTTTGCTTGTATGATTCAGATTGTCAATTAAACTGGAATACTTTTTGACAAAGAATGGGGAATAGTGTGAGAAGACACACCTGATATTTCCAAAAATCTTTAGCAACCATCTGGCTTAGAAACATATTTTTAAATTAAGTCTGAGGGGCCCTAATTTGGCAATATCAACACAGCACAGCAGACACATGCCTGTACATACAACCTTCCCTAAAAGAATACAGCACCTGTGTTGCCCACATAGTAATAATCTTTCTCTTTTTAAAAAAGTTATTCTCCTTTAAAAACAATCAGATTATAATTGTGTATGTTTAGGAAACTTGTAACCTTGAAACAGGACACAGTTCTTATGGGCACCTAGAAATATTAGAATTAATGTTACAAATGAAGCTTTCTTCGTGATTTATAATAAGAGGTAAAATTAATTTATCAGTATTTTTCAGTAAAAGCAGGAAATAAATATTCATATATGCTCACATCGCATTTCCTGTCTTGGAGTAAGAGGCCTAGTGATATAAACTGAAGAACAAGAATCCATTCTTCTGAGTCCATGTTCTCGTGATGACTAATAATATACCAATCAGCATTTACAAAACAGGGTTCTATAACCTTACAGTTTTTTTTTTAAAAAACCTGTCATTTGCATACAACACTATTTAATCAAAAAAGGAATAAACATTAACATTATCACCACCCATGTGATCTGTTATTTTTTTTTATGTGCCAGTATTACTTTTAGCCACACAGTAATTACATCATATCCTGAATGTGTTATGCTGGAATCCTGTGTCCACCTTGGTCCAATACAGCTGAAACACCAAGGCTTTCTGTAGCACCTGAGAGCCAAACAATTGTAGTTATATAATTAAGATTTCATGGCCCTTAGTCTACTTTACCAAGAAATGGGTGATAGCACAAAATCTCATGGTTTAAAAAAGAAAAAAGCTTTTAAGCAGCCACAGGACTCTTTATTTTTGCATGCTTTTGCACCATAGAGTGAAGAGATAAATCTGAATTTCAAATACACAAAACAGCAGAATGCACTGGTGGGAGGGGGAAGAATTTCTTTCACCCATGCATGGTGCAGGAATTAACAAGGAAGCATCTTTTTTTAATTTTTTACTGTCTGGAGAATGTCCCAGTCCAATTGGGAAGCACTGTTCTTCTCTTAGGGGCAACTTGCCTTGCAAAGTATTAAAAGCAGAGAAGAAAGGGAGATGGCGACTCATAAATATTCACCTTTCCATCTTCATTTGTTTTATAGGCAGAGGTTAATTTACCTCAACCTCGACCCCCACCCCCATCCCAAGAAAGAAAACATCCTGGCATCTGACACATTCGAAGAATGAGGAAAACCTCGGGGTTTTGTCTTTAGATTTTTTTTCTCCCCTTCTGCCCGCATCTATCCACCTCCTTTGCTCTCGCTCTTTCTTCTCCGCGGTACTAACCTTGGGCATTCTGATGTACTCCATGGCGACCCGGTCTCCCCGCCTAGGAATCTCACACACCTTTTTAGACAATCAAAACAGAAAAGGGATGCATGGAGCGCTACAACAACGGATGGGGGTTGATCGCCGAGGGAAACCGGGGCGGGGGACGGGTTGGACGATGGGGAAAAATATGAGAGAAGGCGAAGGTGAAGGTGGGGGTGGGGGGCAGCTCTATCAGGCTCCCAGATAATGTGCCTCTCTCTGTTGTGATGCTCGCCGGTCAACGTCTGGCTCCGCCTCCTGCAGCGGCTGCCTGCCGCGCTGCTCTTTTCGGCTTCGGATGCAGGCAAGAACCTTAGGCCGCCTGGCGCGACCAGTCCCAAGGCCCTAAAGGCTGCCATGTTCCCTTGTGCCCTCATCTCAAGGCAAAGGGAGAAAGGGCTGGAGAGAGGAAGAGAGACCTCCGCTGAGGTAATCCGGACCCCCACCCCACACACACACTATACTTTTTTTCTTTTCCTTTTTTTTAAGGCTATGAGGAAGGGCCTTAACTTCCTGGGAAAGCGCATTTCCAGCCCCGACATCCTAAGGATGCGCCCTGTTCCCACCCGGCCATCATCAACCATCCGGCGAGGTAGAAGGACCACCGGGTGAAAGCGGTTGAGACTTGAGACATAAAGCATTTTGTATAGTAAAAGTCAACTTGCCACGCAATTTTGAACGAGAAAAATAAGGACCCCCCACCCCTGTTTTTTTTCCCGATTTATAGAACCAAAAACCTTTCATGTCTTTTAATGACAACTGTAAGCCTCCAGAGGTTTCTGAACTACATAATCCTGTACCATTGAGCATGCTGACTAGAGCTGACGGGAGTAGTAAGCAAAAAAAAAAAAAAAAGGCATCTGGTGAAGGACAGTCCCATTGCCTCAGCAGGACAAAGATAATATTAGGGCAAAAAAAGCACATAACCTGATTTCATTGGTCCCCAGGAACTGATTTCACTGAGCATGATGACCATCTATTAACTGGGGAAATTCTGCAGATGGTGAAGTCACTCTGACCCAGATGTGAGCAGCAACCAGCACTTGGATCAGTGTGGCTTTCCTCATCCTGCTGCTGGGGAAGAGGCAGGAAGAACTAAGTGCATCTCTCTATAATCAAAGTGTCTTCCTTCTTCCATGCAACTGGATTTTCCACTGGGAAGGCCAGCAACAGAAGTAGGAATCTCCCAGGATACAGTGGTGCCTCGCTAGACAGTTACCCCGCATAACAGTTTTTTCACTAGACATTGGCTTTTTGCAATCGCTATAGCGATTCGCAAAACAATGATTCCTATGGGGGAATTTCGCTGAACAATGTTTGGTCCCTGCTTCACAAACTGATTTTCGCTAGACGACGATTTTGACAGCTCCCTCCGCGCTCGCAAACAGGTGTTTTGGGGACCTAAGCTTCGCAAGACAGCAATTTAAACAGCTGATCGGCGGTTCGCAAAGCGGCTTTCCTATGGCCGATCTCCGCTAGACGACGATTCTTCCCCATTGGAATGCATTAAACAGGTTTCAATGCATTCCAATGGGGAAATGCTTTTCGCTAGACAATGATTTCGCTAAACAGCGATTTCAGTGGAACTGATTATCGTCTAGCGGGGCACTACTGTATTTGGTGGGCTGGGCAGGAAATCTCTACATGCGTGGGAGCTAAAGCTTCTATCGTTGCACAGAATACAATGACAGAATTGGCCTGTGAGTCATAATGACTGATTTTGTTCTGGATTCACTTTTATAAAATTGTATTTTAAAATGTTATTGGTTTTATTGAAAGAAAAGGCCTTTTGGGGAGAAAGGTGGATAAAAATATAGCACATAGCAGTGAAACGGAACAGCAGTTAGTGGGGAGAGCAGTTCAGGAAACAGGTGTCAAAGTACATGGGCACTCTTTTTAATGCGTACATGCGCGATAAGTCAAATATAGCAACAACAAAAAGATAAGCTCAGATATTATGATAAAATAGCATCCTATTATAGTTATAATGGCCAGTATCCCAACTAGAGTATACCCATTGACTCAATGGGATTTGTATAATTTTTAATATAGCATAGTAATGTGCAACTGGGGTAGGCGCATTGAATCAATGCAATATATTCATTCAATCCCCACTGAATCCATTTGTTGTTGTTGTTTAGTCGTTAAGTTGTGTCTGACAATTCATGACTCCATGGACCAGAGCTCTCCAGGCCCTACTGTCTTCCACTGCCTCCCGGAGTTGGGTCAGATTCACGTTGACACAGTGACACTGTGACACTTCAGTGATATTGTCCAACCATCTTGTCATCTGTCGTCTCCTCCTCTTGCTTTCACACTTTCCCAACATAAGGGTCTTTTCCAGGGTGTCTTCTCATGAGATGGCCAAATATTGGAGCCCAGCTTCGGGATCTGTTCTTCCAGTAAGCACTCAGGTTTGATATCTTTCAAAATGGATAGGTTTGTTCCCTTTGCAGTCCAGGGGTCTCTCAAGAGTCTCCTCCAGCACCACAATTCAAAAGCATCAATTCTTCGGCGGTCAGCTTTCTTTATGGTCCAGCTCTCACTTCCATACATCAATACTGGAAATACCATAGCTTTGACTACCTGTGTGGGCCTTTGTCGGCAAGGTGATGTCTGTGCTTTTAAAGATGCTGTCTAGGTCTCTCATCGCTTTCCTCCCAAGAAGCAGGCGTCTTTTAATTTTGCAGCTGCTGTCACCATCTGCACTGATCATGGAGCCCAAGAAAGTAAAATCTTTCACTGCCTCCATTTCTTCTCCTTCTATTTGCCAGGAGGTGATGGGATCAGTAGCCATGATCTTAGTTTTTTTGATGTTGAGCTTCAGACCATTTTGGCACTCTCCTCTTTCACCCTCATTAAGAGGTTCTTTAATTCCTCCTCACTTTCTGCCATCAGAGTAGTATCATCTGCATATCGGAGGTTGTTGATATTTCTTCCGGCAATCTGAATTCTGGCTTGGAATTCTATTCCAGCCTTTCCCATATAAATTAAATAAGCAGGGAGACAATATACAGCCTTGTTGTACTCCTTTCCCAATTTGCTTCCTGTCCCACATATAGATTTCTCAGGAGATAGATAAGGTGGTCAGCCATTCCCATTTCTTTAAGAACTTGCTGTAGTTTGTTGTGGTCCACACGGTCAAAGGCTTTTGCGTAGTCAATGAAGCAGAAGTAGATGTTTTTCTGGAACTCTCTGGCTTACTCCATAATCCTGCGCATGCTAGTAATTTGGTCTCTGGTTTGTCTGCCCCTTCGAAATCCAACCAGTATTCATAGGCATACTCTAGTTCTTATTATATTAAGTCGTGTCAGGCAAAAACAAATAAAAATAAAGAAGGATGCTAATAGGCTTTCAGCCATAGGTTCCATGCCAAGTGAAAAACAAAAGTAGAAAAAAGTATAGTTTATATTAACAGTTTGCGGGTAACATTGAAAACCTGTGATTCTAAGAGGAAATGTTTATAGGTTATATAACAGATTAGAAATACCATGGGTCATTCATATTTGCTGCTTGAAGAACTGTTTGACTTTTCCCCCAGAAGACTTGATACTTCTAATTTCTATGTCATGATCCAGTTGATTTGCACACATAAACTTTTCCCCCAGTTTATGTGTGCAAGTCAGCTGGGTCCAGCTGGAAGCAACACATGAGATCCTGGTCCCGAGATGAAATGTTTTCACGTGGATTTCTTTTGTAAATATGTAATCTTTAACTCTGTTAAATGTCATTTAGCTTAACTTTTAACATAGACTTTAAGAATTATTAATCTGTAATCTCACTGTGGATCAAAGACAGATGATGCAAAATAAAGTAAGTGACTTAGTGTAGAAAGGGGAAACTTCCTATTTACACTGCATGACAGGCCACTGTTTCTGTAAATTAATGATAATTATAAAATTCAGCATATTCCAGAACAGGTAGAAACATTATGTAATAATCAATAAAAGGGACTTTTTAAATTGCACATATGTGTGCAAAATAAGAGTGATAATAATTATTGGTATTAATAATGGCAAATTGAAAAGTTGTAACTTTTATGGGCTCTTTCTTAGCATTATTTATTTCTGGTGGATGTGAGGATTAATAAAAATGGGAGGGGGCAATGCTCATCATATGATCATTGATGAATACGTTGTGTGGAAGGAGGGTTGTTTATTAAAAAACCTTAGGAGGGATTAAAAAACATCCCTGCATACTGCTAACAATGTCTTCTGGCACTCTTAATGGAATGGTGGAAGCAAACCCATTTATACTGAGAGTAGTTCCAGAAACAACAGTTACAGAATCTGCAGCAGAGAACTCAAGGAAGTAAGCCAAGCCAAATATGTTGTCCAAGTTGCATAAATTGATATGGTAAAGAAAAATAGGCCTATCCAGAAACACATTACCTGTAGGGAGTTAAACCTAGGAAACAGAGCACACTGAACGCATTTCAATTGTGCATCATACCCACAAACACAGTCAAAACTAGAACCAGACTGAAACCCAAGCATTGTTAGGATTCTTTAGTATTTTATTCTGAAATAGTGCAACTGCCAAGTACTGAACATGGTGACTGAAATCCTGTTGCTTAGTGTAGTCAGTTGCAACTAAAGTATGCCCACTGAATTAGAGGGAATTTCATGAGTCAACTCCTCCATAAATTCCACTGATTCGGTGGTTCTGCTCTAGTTGTGATTTACTATGCTAAGTGACAGGCTTTCAGATGTTGAGTTTGTGGCTACAATTAACTTCTCAGGAGACAAAGGCAAAAAGGGAAATCTTATTTTTTGTGTGTTTTGAAGAAATCTACATAGGAGGGGGGGAGGAATCCTAAACCTTTGTTCAGAAAACTCTATAATTTGCAGTAGTGCTGAGCAGCCATTATGGAGAAATTATGAACCTGTTGCCTCTGGCTAGCTAGGGAGAACAACAAACAGGAAGTGAAAGGGAAAAGAAAGGCAGAGGGAGGAAGTTAACCTGAGAGCAACAATCTAGAAACAGTAGAAGACAAGGAGGCAGACATCAAATAGTGCTGTCTGTATGCTTTTCTGCTTCCATAAGTGGTGTTAAGCTTCCAGCGGTGAGCACACATTTACATACAGAGTCAAAGAACAAGTAGACTTTTTAGACCTCCCTGTCCTTGCTTGTTCACTGCAGGTTAAGTTAAACAATACTCCTTTCCTACTACAGTGGGGTCTCTACTTAAGAACTTAATCCGTATTGGAAGGTGGTTCTCAAGTGGAAAAGTTCTTATGTAGAATCTGCATTTCCCATAGGAATGCATTGAAAACCATTTAATCTGTATCTGCTCTTTTCCGTCCATAGAAACTAATGGGAAGCTGCTATTCCGCCTTCTTCCACTAGAGGGGGATATTTTTTCTTTTTCTTTTTCCCTTAGGTCAGGGAACAGTGTTAAACGCACTTCTGACGAAGCTAATTTTGAAGCAATGGACTGAAAACCAA